GGTTCAGCTCGCAGCCCGGCTCTCCACCTCCGTGCCGCCCGCTGCCGCCGTCAGACCCGCGCTGCGCCTCAGCAGTGCCTTCACCAGATCCATCTGGAGCCTGAGCCACAGCGGACCGGCGTCAGGATCCAGGCCGAGGCTGCTCACAGCGACGCGGGCTCTGCCCACAGTGTCGTGCGGCTGCGGGAGTCTGCACACCGAGGGTAAACGCTGCTTCACACTCACACGAACTACCATGGTAAAGGTATAGACGTTAACCAAAAAGTACCATAGTAAAGGTATTATGTATGGAAACTAACTAAAAAATACCATGGTAAAATATAGACACTAATTACTAAAAGTACCATGGTAAAATATAGACACTAACTACTAAAAAATAACATGGTAAAGGGTTAGACGTTAACTAAAAAGACACTAACTTCTAAAAAATACCATGGTAAAGGTATAGACACTAACTTCTAAAAAATACCATGGTAAAGGTATAGACGTTAACCAAAAGTACCATAGTAAAGGTATTATGTATGGTAAAGGTATGGAAACTCACAAAGGTAGACACTAACTAAAAAGTAGTTTCAGTTATTTAAAAAAAAGCCTTAAGCTTATTTTATTTCTGCCAGTTGCTAACGAAACATTTTCATTTAGTTAAATTTTATATACTAAAATAACTAAAACGGATTAAAAATGAATGAATCAAATAAATAAAATGTGAAATAAAAGTGATTTATGAAATAAAAAAAACTACTAAAAATGACCAAAAACGCCGAACTAAATTTCTGACTAGTTAATTAAAATAAAAATGGAAAATAAAAACCTAATTGAAAGAATTAATAAAATGTTTCAATGTTAATTTGAATATTTTATAATGTTACAGCAGATGTCATGTCCTGCATTATGTGCATTGGGTGTTTTCAGTCAAACTTGTGACCTTGAGACTGAATCAGGAGACGAACAGCATGTCATGTGAACTAACCACTGAGACTAGTTCACTAGTGTTGGTTACTAGAGCATGCATGCATGTTGTCTGGAGTGTTTTATTGATTCTGTCTTTATTCTGCAGGTGATAAAGCGTTTGCAGAGTTTCTCACTGATGAAATCAAAGAAGAAAAGAAGATCCAGAAGAACAAGAGTCTTCCTCAAATGTCCGGCGGCTGGAAGCTCGAGCTCAACGGCACAGAGGCCAAACTCATCCGCTCGCTGTCCGGAGAAAAGTAAGGATCGTGTGTTTCATCCGGACCATCAGAATCCTGCTGTTCATAATGATGCACACACGCCTTATTGCTTTAGAAAACAATTCTATTTAGATTTATGCATTTTACAGATGTTGCACAAGCAATAAATGCATTGAGCAAGTGTCTTGTATGATCATATTTATGCTCTGCTGTAATAAATCCTGTGGGATTGTGTTCGGCAGAGTCACCATCACATTCAACGTGAACAACAGCATCCCGCCGCAGCTGGAGGAAGATCCTGAGCACACGCAGAAGAGTCCGGAGGACGAGGTAGAGCACACGCACAATGCATTCATACTGTACAAACAACACCAGCTTATTATATAATGCAATATGAAATCAGGATAACCTAATGTTGTTAAACTGTTGCCATCATATGCAGTTACAATTGTGAAACAGAGATTTTATCTTCAAATGAAGGTTGCAACATGAAATCACAAGTTCAACAAAGGTGTGAGCAGAGTCATAAATGAATTATTAAAATGGCATTTTTTTATTTTTTATAAAACATGAACGTAAACATTATATGAATTTACATGTATGCATTTAGCAGACACTTACAATAGAGGAACAAAAGCAGTTAATGACAGAATATAATTCTGGAGATTATAAGATTTAAAAATAATAATATTAGTGCTGTCAAACCATTAATCGCATCCAAAATAAATGTTTTTATTTACATAATATATGTGTGTGTACTCTGTATATTTATTATATGTATGTAAATTAGGGCTGCATGATTAATCGCATGCGATATTTAACGCGCATCTTATCAGTAAAGCCGGTTCTGTAATCAGCGGTAAATCTCCATCACCTGCGGGCTTTCACATTGAGCAGTTTTAAATTTTTAATATATATATATATATATATATATATATATATACAATTGTGCAGAATTTACTGTGTAATTTCTATAGTAAGTACACAATAAGCACTGTAAAATAATGTGTTACTGAATATTTTTTACTCACAATTTCTAAAGCTTGGCATAACTGAAAAAATGCATATTCACTATTAAAATGGCCGATGGGGTTTATTAATTTCTGTGATTTTACTGTCTATAAATCACACTTTTAAATCAGGCTTCCTCATATATCAGTATGAATCCTGCTTCAAATTAAAAGCACAATTTTTGGGAGAGTGAATTCAAATAAGAATATTTTAATGCTTGTTTATTTCAAATTATTTTCAGTCATCTTGTAAGTTTGCAATTACCTCATCATGTCATGTTTTTAACACATTTTTCCTTTTTTTTTTTTAAAGCCTGAAATTGATTCCACACCTAACTTTGTGGTTGAAGTGACCAAACCAGGAGCGAAGAGTTCACTAGTGTTTGACTGTCATTTCCCCGAGGATGAGGTGGGTTGCTCTTCTCTCGTTGTTGTATTTTTAGGTTAGTGTGACTGAAGGTCCAGCTATCATAAAGAGCATGCAGAATGAAAACAATGCGTGATTTCTCACTGACTGGAGCTCTTTGTTTCTGAGCAGAGCGCTCACGGTGAGGGTGAGGAGGAGAGCGACATCTTCGCCATCCGTGAGGTCAGTTTCCAGCCGGAGGGAGACGTCGAGTGGAAGGAAACCAGTTACACGCTCAACACAGACTCTCTGGACTGGGTGAGAGCTTTACTGAAGTCACTTCATGAGCATTTCACCATTTCATTTGATAAAAACTATCACTGAAACTCAAAGGTCAAAATAAATCTTTGATTTCACTTAAAAAAATATATTGCAGTTGCCCAGAAGCCTATACTTCTCTAAGTCACTTAAAACTTCTATTTTTAGGAATATCACAATTTTCCTTTTTTTTTTAATTTAACAGTAAACCTCAGTTGTGCAGCAATTTGTTTGCCAAAAAAAGGGAATTATGCAATCTACAACTATAAATTCTTAATCTTTTATGCCTTCATTTGATAACCACCTTTATTTATAGTGACACAGAATTTCTGAAAAAAATGAAACATTTCATAGACTTGCTTTTTGATTTTTAAAATGTACTTAAAATATTAAAACTGAATACAGAATTATTTAAAAATAAATGTATTGCCTTAATTTTTGTAAAACTTTTAACAAATGGATGTGAAATTGTATCTCTTTCAGTGTTTCAAATTATTAGATTATTTTGATTACTAAAATTTAATGTAACCAGTCAATTGGAATCCAGAAAAATTAAAACAGGAAAAAAAGGGATTTTGGAAAAAAATACAATGGATTTCATAGACGCTTATTATTGTAAAAAAGGTAATACATTTGAAAATTTTTATTAATTGTATTTTAATTTAATTAATTAGACATGCTTTTTAATTATTGAAATTAAACCATTAAATTGAAAACAATAGAATTAAAATGTATTTTCTTTTCTTTTTTGAATTGTATAGATTTGTATTTTGTATAAATGATATTGTATAGAAGCCCCACCCATCCCGAAAAAAAGAAAGAAAATTAAAACAGGAAGAAAAACCCAGAAAAAATTTAAATAGCGATGGAAAAAAAAAAGCATAGGCTTCTAACAAATGCACAGCAGTGACCTCTGACCTCTCTGACTCTCTAGGCCCTGTATGACCATCTGATGGACTTCCTGGCTGACCGCGGCATTGACAACACGTTTGTGGATGAGCTGACGGAGTTGAGCATGGCCCTGGAGCATCAGGAGTACATCAAGTTCCTGGACGATCTCAGCACTTTCGTCAAATGCAAATAATCTCTGTCTAGATTTATCACAAACTTGTGATTCGTCTGGCTCTGATGTGATGTCTGAAGGCAGAAGAGTTTTGTATTTAATTTTATATGTTATGTGCACACCGGTTACGTTTCAGATGTCATCGCAGGGGTTTACAGGAACCAAGAATGTGAACTAAACATTCATGAGAAATAAAACAGAGGAAATATTGGGCCGATTGTCTAGATTTCAGTACATGTTGCTAAAA